ACTACGCGATGAATAAAAAGGAAATTTTTGTCATTATTTAGGCCCCTAATTCATTGCGAAATTACCTATACGGTTCAAGGAGCGTAAAAATTTACACGGACCATCAACCTTTGACACATGTTCTAAGTAGCAAGAATACGAACAGCAAGAAGAAGCATTGGAGGGCCATTCTCGAAGAGTACAACTACGAACTTAAATACAAAACCGGAAGGTCTAACGTTGTTGCTGATTCACTTTTAAGATTACCTTATCGGACAGAAATGAATTCGTTAACACCTACCCAACATGGTAACGAAAGCTCACTACACAATGTAATACCACTTGGCAGTCAAATTAACGTCTTTAGAAATCAAATATTTTTAAGGATTTGAAACGAAACCACTTGCCAATTAAAACATCCCTTTTCTAATTTTCTCAAACGCACCTTAATCCAACCGCAATGCTCTAATTTGGAAGATACCTTAACCCAGACAAAACTAATGGCATATTTGCGGAAGAGAGTATAATGGGCAAAATTCAGGAAATACGCCTCTTATTCTTTTCCAAATAAAAAATTGTACTTACGCGCAAAATGTTAGATAACGTACAAAACGAAACCCTACAAGAACAAATAATATTAAACACGCATCGTGGAGCTCGTTGCGGTGCCCCAGAAACCAACTTCAAATCCTTGAAAAATTATACTTCCAACAAATGACGAAATAGATTCAACGACTAACCAAATATTGTGAAATTTATAAATAAACGAGTAATTATGAATAATTTAGTTACTGAAATACTAAATAACTTGACTTGATAACTATTTTACCTTTAGACCTAAAATTTTTAAGGAAGACCTTTTCAATATAAACTATGCCAATCATTGGGCAAAGTTAATATTAGTTAACTCATTAATTTTATCTTGAGCCGAAATTAATAGTATAATCAAAACATTGAACTAAAAACAATTTAAATATTCCACAGTAGAAGAAGGTTTAAACTTTTCTGAAATTAAAATAATAACCAATAAGTCAACTATTCTCCACATTTTTAATATTCCAATAATCGAAAAAGAGATTTATGAAAAAATTTTACTAAAACCTGTAAAAAGAAATAATGTAACAGTAGACCTTCAATACAACAATGTAATAAAAAATAAAAATAATATTTTTGCTTTAAAAGAAAACTGCAAAAGTAATGACACATTTTTATTTGTAATGAATTAATATTATAAATTTAGTAAACGAAAAATGTATAACTAATCCTTTAAAAAGCCTATTAGCTGATTGCAACATCAGTATCACATTAAGACAGTATATAAAATCGCACCTGGGGTCATTGTGTTAAACAACTTTGAAGAAAATATTTTTATCAATTCAGAAAATAAATGGTCTTTTCTATTGAAATTCCATAGCATAGAAATTACAATAAATGATAAATCATTCACTTCACATGAAATTTCCAATTTTCATCTAGCAATTTTACATCCTCTTCCCAAAGAGATTAACGTTCTATCCTTAAAAAAGTGTCATGCAGTTCACGTCAATAACACAAAATTGTGCAAAAAGTAATTTTATTGTGCAAAAAGTTCCATTTCAAAATCATCGAAAATTCAACAACCAATAAGAACAAATTCTCGATGTACAAAATCTCGAATCTTCGCGTCCATGCTAATCTACCAAGATTTTCGATATACAATTTTTCTAAAAAATTGAGGACAATCATTTTTAAGCGGGGAAGAGTTAACGACAAGTATTCATTTATTTCTAAGATCACGTTGCAAATCCGCGTGACCAATTGTGAGAAACAATGTTCAAAATATTTTCTCACAATTATGTTCCCATATGTTGCAAACGGTAAATATGCTTATTTACGTTTTATAAATTAAATTATAAATCTTAGCATGTAAGATATAAACATTGTTAATTCGTAATTCTAATTTCTAACCATGCAGTTAGATATTCATTTGTATTATTAGAATAAAATTTGTATTGAAATGAAGAGTAAAATTTTTATAACAAAAAGTGTTAAAGACAAATTTTTTTTTATACCAACAATAAAGGTGATTTCTAAAAGCAAAGTTGTATGTATCTGATTTAAAAATAAAATGGTGAACTAAGATATACTCATATTTTAGTTTACCATTGGTGTATACAGTAAAACACGGTTAAGTGGAAATCGATCAGCCAAAAAAATTTTGTCCACTAAAGCGTGTTTTCCACTTATACGAATTCGACTTAAAAAATAAAGTTGGGTCAAACCAATGGTTTGTATTGTAGCACTTTTCCCTTCAACAAGTGAAAATTCTGCTTTTAAATACAGTCTATGTATACCTATCACACTATTAAAATTATTTTCATTCATATACAAAACTCTTTCTAGGATTGCATATATTTAGGATGAACGATTTATGCAGTCTTTGAAATAAAGCAAAAATTAATATAAAAAGGGGTTAACATAATGCTCGATTTTAAGGGTTAATTGTGTGAGTTAAGGAAAATAATTATATTTTTTAATGTCATGGAATTTACCGTTAGCTTTTTGCGTTTATAGAAATTTGAAAAAACGTACGATTTCGGAAATATAAGGTGTCAAAAATTCAAATTTTACAAATTTCAAGGGGCGATAACTTGAAAGGGGGTGGAGATGGAAAAAAATTTTCTTCTAACGAAATAAACTATTTATTAATGTCTATAAGCCACTAAAATTTCAAGCTTCTACAGGCTGGGGTCTAGAAGAAAAATGACATCAAAAATTTGGAAAAAAAGGACTTTAGATAACGGTAAATTTGAACGGCCATTTTGTTTTTCTAAATTTTGACTATAGCATACCGCGCTAGGGGAAGCAAGCCACTGCCTTTCTGCGTTTGCAAAATTTCAAAAATGCTTATGGTTTCATTGCAACAAAAAGTTAAAAAAGGCCATTTTTAAGGTTTTGGGGGGGTATAACTTCTAGAGGGAGGGAGATAGGTAAAAATTTTGTTCTACGGAAGTAAGTTTCTAGTAAAGATCTATGTACATATAAAATTTCAGCTTTCTATCTTCAAGGGTGTAGAAGTTTTGTAAACAAAAAAAGTGTCCACGGACGGACGGACGGACAGAGTGAAACTAATAAGCACTTTTTTCAAAAAATTTTTTGGAAAAGTGCTAATTATCTCCGATGTCAAAGAATTGAATTTATTAAAAACTGGTTCTAAACTTTAATTTTTCAACACTCAAAATTTGACAATGACAGAAACTAAAATATTTTGTGTAGCTACATAGTGTTGCTTTTCTTATTTTGTAGTTGAGAGTGTAGTTTTTCATTTTTGACATTTATGCTAAATAAAAACAGGGATGTGCAGTTAACTGAATAAATTTACATATTAAGTATTACATGAGGGAAAAAATATATGCGCAGATAAGCGTGTTGTGCACTTATCCGAATTCCACTTAAACGAATTTTTTTATATGAAAAAATCGAAAAAAGTACAAGCCACGAAAATTTGATGCAATTAAGCGTGAAATCCACTTAAGCGTGATCCACTTAACCGTGTTTTACTGTATATGTTTTTAATTTATTTTGACAATTCGTTTGACATTTCTTTTGGAATGCCAATTAACATTTCTGGAAAACAACAGCGGAACATATATTTTTATGAAACCAGTTAACATTGCAATTACCTGTAATTGTTTACTCTGCAATTAAAATTTTGCGCTTATCATTCACGCAATAGAATACTTTTTGATTTAATTTTCATCGTTGCACAGTTATATTGTTGATTTCAGATTACAAAAATACAATAACAGTGAACTGCGGACAATCATAAAGGATCTACTGTATCCCCCCTCCCCCTTACTAACCACAACGCTAAAACCATTTATATTTATCAACTAATGAAAAAGAAATAATAGAACAACTCATCTCCCTTAAAACGGATTTTTTAAATTTTTAATTTGTTTTTAATACATATCCAAACTGCTTTATAAGATATATTTGGTGTGTGTTTGTGAACAAAAAAAATCATCTTATTTTGGAATTTCGGATCAATATAATATCTAAATAGTCATATTTTTAACTTCATAACAATACATGAGGAGAATATTTGCACGGATATCACATAAAATATTGTTGTTATGGCATTTAATTAAATTAAATAAAAACAAATCTGATGTGTTCAACACATAACCGACCGTAATGTATCTTGTCTAGATTAGTAAAAGTATTTCAGAAGATTATAAAAATGCGTTTTAACAACTTCTTCACAATTTTAAGGACATTAATAAACTTTTAGTTAACATATCTAGAAAAATGTGAATTTGACTATTAGTAGAGTTTTATTTTGTGCCGTCCGAATTATACAAAAAATTTGTTAGTAACTTCTGGTAACAACTAGAACTCAAATATTAAATTTCAAGAAATTCCATCAATTAGTTCTGTAGATATGGTAAAAAGTGTAAAGTCGGCTCCCAGATCAGTCTCCGAGCCCTGACTTTTCCAAAAAATTTATAGATTCATTGTTTTAACATCGCAAAAACTAATATTAAATTTCAATGAAATCTGTTGATTATTTCTATTTATATACGCAAAAATGTATATTTTGCCCGTTGTAAACGTCCAGTTGCCACTTGATTTCTTCCGAAAGTTAGGAGGTTCAGCGTACGGTCGAATGAAGCTTATATATAAAAATTTCAAGTAAATCTGTTGAATATTTTCTCAAAATGATGAAAAATGTAAAACAGGCCCGTTAAAAGGTGCAGTACCCGAGGCCTGATATATCCAAAAAGTTGATCAATCAAATAATGTAATGTTTAATTTTTTTTCATAGTCAAAATAATAGAAATTCCTCAAAGTCGGTTCAGCCGAACTTGAGACACACGCGTGCACGCACTGACCGACTGACCGACAGGTTGATAAAGATAGTTTATTTACACTTCCCTACCATGGAGAAGTGTCATCCCACCTAAAAATCGACATCCAAAATTTGTTGCTAGCACATAGCCTACCTTATTGTATACACAACGCGGTCGGTAATTACTTACCTGAAATTCTTTCATTATCATTATCAATTAATTTTGTAAATATTTGCTTTGATTTTTTTGTTATAAAAAACTTTTCACTTAATAATTTCACTTGATCATCATTGTTTATTTGAAATGAATTTATATTTCTTTGTACTATTTTATTATTAGGATTATTTTTATTATCGTTAATACTAATATTTTTATTAATTTTACTATCACAATTATTTTTATTATTAATATTACTATCACTTAAACTATTATCAATGTTATTATTATCATTTTTCTTATCATTAAAATTATTGTCATTATCACAATCGTTATTTTCATCATTATTATTATCATGAATGGAATTATTATAATTTTTATTATTAAAAATTTTATCTTTAATTATTTCTTCTTCATTTTCATTGTTATTATTATTCGCTTTATTCTTTTTCTTATTAATATTTTGATTTTCTTCAAAATTTTTTGTTGATGAACTATTATCGAAAATTTCAATTGGTTGTTGTATATGATAAGATGATGTTATATTTTGCTTACAATTAAATTCGGTAGATGATGATGTAATTGTTGTTGTTGTTGGAATTTTAATATTAGGAGAATTTACATTACAATTGATATTATTATTTTCATTTATGTTTGCTATTGGTAAATTTGTTACCGTTGTTGTTATTGTTGATGTCGATGTTTCAACATTACGATCAACTGAAGAGGAATTTGTAACAGTAGCAGCAGCAGCAGTTGGTTTTTTTAGCATATCAATTATATTATTATTATCATAATGATATTCTTTTATTTCTGATGTTAAAACTGACGGTATTAATAATTGTGATGAGAATGAGGTTGATGATATTAAATTATTTGAACTATTATGCTGTTCTTGATGATCATCATCGCTATCGCAATCATCATTATTATCATCATCATCATTGTCATCATAATCATTTTTATTTTCGCTCTTGTTAGAGAGTTTTTGTTGCCCTTGTTCATAATGATGATGATTATCATGTTGATGTTGATATGATGACTCTTGATATTGATTATAAATCGTATTAGAATTATTTTGCTCATTACATACATCTTTTTCCAATTTAAAACTAGTAAATATTGCTTGGGGAGAATGTTGCTTCTATTATATAGATAAAAAATTAAAATAAATACTATAAAAAAATATATATATGTATATATAAAGTATATAACAAAATGTACATTAAAAATATGTGCATGTGTGGGAAAAAGCAAGGATATGATTATTTGTTAGTGTAATTGTAATTAACACTGGATTTGGGATGAAATGAACAAACATATAAAATTATAATTAAGTATGTATGTAGCTTAATTTAACAATTAAGCTAAAATATATAGAATGAATTAAAAACTTATAATATATTAAATATTATTAATATATTAGTATATTAATATATTAATATATTAAGTATATTAAATACAATACAAACACAATATATATGCAAATACATTATTGAATTGTGTGGATTGAATGAACGTGACTTTACAGTTTTTAGAAATTTATTGTAAAATTTGTATGTATCGAAAAGTAACTAAAGATGTTATGGCTCTTAAATAAAGTGAGGTAAAAAATAGTTCATTTGAGTCAAAAGTGGGGAACACTTAGACGCATGAAAACATAGTCATAATCCATGTACTAATTAAATTATATTGTGTAGTTAATATAGCATTAATTAAATTTAATGTTAAAGCTGTTTGTTTCCAAATATTAACTAAAATTCTTTTAATTAGAAATATAGTATGTGCCTTCTTATTGTTAAGAAGTGATATAGTGTTGAATTTTGTTAGATTGTACATACTTAGATTGTAAATTGTATTAATGGAGTAACAATGCGACCAGAATTTAAGCATCTATTGCCCCCCCCCCCCCCCCCCCCCCCCCAAACCAGATGTGGGATAGAGTTCTGTTAAAGACATTTTTCTCAATTACTATTTTTAAAAAATATAAACTTACATTACTATAAACTTCAACGACACGATTTTTTGGTGGTCTTCCACGTTTTCTATTAAAAAAACCTTCAATCGATGTTATTTGCATTAAATTTGATTGATTTTGTAATAGTTGTAATGAAGTTGATGAAGAAGATAATGTTGATGATTGTGATGATATTCCTAATAATGGTATTTGAATTCCCAATGAGTTATTTGAAGAAATTATTGTTGAATTTGAAGTTGTTGCTATATTTGGTTTTGTCATTGCCGTTGTTATTGTTGCTGTTATTGGTGTTGTTGTTGTTGATATTAACGATTTAGCATTTATTGAAATATCAATTTCTGATTCAATTGAATTTGTTTTTTTAATATTAATATCATTTTTGTCATTTTTATTATTAGAATTAGTATTTTTATTTATTATTACATTATTAACTAATTCATGTTGTTGAATATGCTGAAATATTTCTTTTAAATTATAACCGTAAATAATTTTTAAACAATTTTTGTATAAACAATGATAATGTATTACACTATCATCGACGCTACTATTATTACTTAAATTACTATCATTATCATTATTATTAATATTATTATTAATTGTTTTTATAATATTACATTCAATATACGGTTCATACAATTTTATTTCTTTGTTACTTTTAATTATGATATTATTATAATTATTATTATTATTATTATTATTATTATTATTATTATTATTATTATTATTATTATTATCGTTACTTTTAATATCATTATTATCTAATAAATTATCACACAAAAATTTTTGCTGTTTTGAACAATTTGTTGTAAAATATTGTTTAATTATAAATTTCATATCATTAAAGTTATTTAAATTTGATAATAATGTGTTAATATTATCATTATTGTTTTCGTACTCATTAAAATTATAATTATTATTATTATTATTATAGCAATTATTATCGTCACTAATATTACCATCATTATCACTAATGTCATTATCAAAAATCTTATTATTTTTATTTTCATCATAAAGTTTTTGTTTATTTATTATATTTAAGAGAAAATTTTTATATATATTTTCATTGCTTAACGAAATATGAGAATTATTAATATTATTTTGTGGTAGTAATAAAGACTTTAATTTTTCATTTAAAATTTTATATGATGTTTTTTCATTATTATTATCATTATTTGTATTATTACTATTATTATTATTATTATTATTTTTCATTGTTATTGATGCTAAAATAGAAGTTGTTGGTATTGCAGTCGTTACTATTGTTGATGCAGGTATCGTTGTTGCGGTTTTCGTCAATAGTTTTAAATTTGATGAGTTTTCTTGTAAATTACTATTATTTTCGTTGTTATTATTAGATATTTCATTTATATTATCAATAATGTCTGAATTTGAAATAAATTCATTTAATATTGACATAGATTTTAAATTAATTTCATTATCATTGTCACTATCATTATCATTATTATTTTTCTTATTATTACCACTATTATTATTATTTTTATTATTATTATTGTTATTATTATTATTACTATTGTTATCATTATTATTATTAATATTATTATTATTATTACTATTATTATCATTATTATTATCATTATTACTAGGATTATTATTAATTGATTGTGATGTTAATTCATTTTTTTCTATTGATAATGTATTATGTAATGTGGATTCTGATGTTATTGTTGTTGTAGGTGATAATGTAGATGATGATATTAATTGTACAGCTTCTGGTGGCAATTGTAAGATTTTATAATTTTGATATGCTAATTCATTATCCATACGTTCATGTTTACGTTTATGACTTAGTAATTGTCCACTAGAATGTAATATATAAAAACAATCCTTTCTTATACAATGTATATGATTGCAAACACGTGAAAAACGGCATTGTTTATATGGGCATTTCTCATTTTTTAAATATTTTTTAAATCCATCTCTTGTTAATTGTAAATCTTTAATATGATAAGATTTATGTTTTTCTAATTATTAAATGGGAGAGAAACAAAAATGTAGAATTATTATTTAGTTTTTAGATTTTTCCTTTTGGAAAAAAAAAAAAAAACAAAAAATTTTTTTTACCCATATCCGCTTTATTTTTGAATGTAAAATTACAATTCTCTCGGCGGCAGTGAAAATGTGTTGTTTTTTGACTTGAAAATATACAATATGTTGCATTACAATTTTCGGTTGCACGATATCTTTGAAATCTATGCACATATACATATAAAGAGAATAGAATAAAACTATGTTAAAAAATGATATAATAATATAAAAAAAAAACATAAAATAATATTGAATTATTTGATATTTTGGATATATAAGTTCACCATGGTTCGTTCTTTCCATAAAACTGGTTTATAATTTTCGCCAATAGCCAATTAATGCAAAATGTATAATATGCAAAAACATTTCGAAATTTATAAATTTTAATAATTTCTTTTATTTTTTTTTTAAATAGACAAGAACATTAAGAACTATGTGTATCCCTGCTTTTTGGCAACTAAATTTTATGTCGCTTCCCAATACGTCAAAGATTTGAAAATTATGTCAATTGTTTAATTTTGTTAATTACTGTATCATCTACAGTTAAGCATTTTTTGTAATTTTTATATTCGATTTTCATTGTTAATTAACATATGAATAAATCTTTAACAAATAATGTAAAATAATATCTAAAATAATCGTCAGTAGCTTTTTGTGGTATATTGGGACCAATAAGACGTCGGAGTTCATGATTATAATGTTAATCGCAAACTTAAAATAGTGATTTTTTTTTAAATTAATTTTTTTGTTGAAAAAAAAAATAAAGTCCAAAATTAAATATATTCCAATCAAAATTAAATGCTTATGATTATGTTTCAAAGATCATTTTGTGCCTACTTAATGTAGGGTTTTTCGTTTTACCTATAGATATATGTAACCTTTACTTTAGAAACAGACATGCAGTTTTCAAGTTTTCATCAAACGGCTGTACCAAAACTAAAAAGGCATATCTGCCAGAGCCCTTAGACATAAAATATATTCTTTAATTATATTTTGATATTTTTTTTAGGACGCATGATTGAAAAAGTGTTAATATTAGTAACAATTTACGAAATTAAGTTTAGAAGTGCTGTATTAGGCACCGTAATGTAATTATAGAACAATCTTCATAATGTTTTCTCTTTTTTGTTTTTTTCAATGCACTCATATAAATTGAGAATTATTTTTTTGGTATTAACATTTGTCCACAGATATGATATAAATCCATATGATATAAACTCATATAATATAAAGCAACAACTCAATTAAAGAAATCGATCAATAAAACAGGGGAAATATATTCGTTTTGCTTATATCGTTCATGTGTTCTTCTTTTCGAAAATTAAAAAAAAAACTCGTAACCACTGTTATATACGTTATTCTAAAACTTTTATATTGTCATTTACAATCTGGAAATAAAAATTTTCCAACACTATGTTGCTAATATTACAAATGTCTAACTTTCGCTTTTTTTTAACTTACCCTTCTTGAAATATAGCAATATCCTTACGATGATAATTTGAATGCATTTGTACATCACTAGTGCTTATATAAACTTTATCACAATTTGGTTGAAAACAATGATAATGTGTTTGCTTCTTATTATGTTGACAACTTGAATTGAAACGTAAACTGCAATCATCTGATGACGAAAAACGTAAAAAGCCATAATTTAAACTTTCATTACGTTTTTTATGCCATTTTATATGACGTATTATTTCATCCTTTTTGTTTAATGATTTACCAAAGCATGGTACGTCATAACAATGAAAATGTTCACGTAAATTTTCATATATACATTGATTAATATTACATTCATAATGTGATCCAAAACGTTGTAAATTTTTTAATTGATAAGCTATGAAAAATAAAAAAAATAAAACAAAAAAAAATAGTTATTTTTTATTACTTTGATATTCAAATATTTTATGTAAAAGTAAATAGACATATCGTCATTCTGATGCTATTTATATACTGCCATATGTTGCAAAAATAATGAAAATTATGAACTAAACTCTAAAATGAAACTGAATAACACAATAAAATATAAGTTCATAATTGGAAGCAAAATATGCGAAAAAAATGGCGACAAAAAAATTGTCGGTCTATCGTCTATTTCAAGTTCGGCTGAACTGATTTTGATGAAATTTTATATGTAAGTTTATTTCGACTATGGCACGATCAACTTTTGAGATATATCAGGGCTCGGGAACTGAATTTTTTAATTTTTGATCATTATGAAGAAAATATCCAATAGATTTACTTGAAATTTCATATAAAAGCTTCGCTCGACAGTTTGTGAAACCTCCTAACTTTTGAAAGAGTCAAGCGTCAGAAACTGGACGTTTACGACGGGCCAAATATACATTTTTGCGTATATAAAGAGAAATAATCAACCGACTTCATTGAAATTTAATATTTAAATTCTTCGTGTTAAAACAATGAAAATATAAATTTTTTGGAAAGACCAAGGCTCGGAAACTGGCGACCGAAACTAACTGGCGAGCATTTCCGGGAATTCGAGAGGCACAAAGCGAAACTCTATTAAGACCCAAATTTGCATTTTTCTAAATATGTTAACTATAAGCTTACTAATACTCTAAAAATTGGAAAGAAGTATTTAACAGGCATTTTGATAATATTCTGTAACATTTCACTTCGCTAGACAATACACATTGTGGTCGGTTATGTGCTGACTACATCAAATTTTTTATTTCGAAATTTACTGCTTTTATTGTTTTTTTTTCTGTATTTCTCTTTTAACATTTTACCAAACTATACGTACTAAATAAGCGAAAAGTAACTGGCGAGATCGACATATTACCCAAATGGTTTCATTTTTGAAATTGTAATGGAAAGGGTAAGGTATTTAATAATACAATCAATTACTCCTCAAATATTTCACCAAACGAAAGTAGTTCTGATTACTTTGTGAATAGTTACTTCTATTCTTTTAGAAATCTATAGCGATTAGTAGTTACTTCTGTCCTTCTTTGTAATAAGATGGTTAAAAGGTTACCTAATCTGATTACTTCACTTTAATTCTTTACTTCGCTACTTCTTTGCAATCAGATGGGTAATGTGTTGTCTCCTCTTGCTTTCCATCCTGATATATTACCTTACTAAGTACACTTCATTTAATTGGTTGCCTGCACGGACATTGTCCGCGATATATAGTTCAGGAATTACATTATGGGTAATCAATTAATGCCTACAAAGGAATAGTTACATAATTACCTATTGTAATAACAAAATCTCCTATTGAAGACATTTGCTCGAATTAAAATTAAAATTTATAGTTATTAATATAAATTACTATGCAAATACTCGTATGATCGGAACATATGAAAAAAATGTTTTCAATAATAATTATGGCCTCTTTTTTTGCTTCTCAGTATTAGAATCTAATAATCTCAGTATTAGACAATATTACTAGAAGTCGATTCTACATTTTTGATCATACTAAAATCTCAAACACTTCAAGAGCATTTATGGAATCTATTTATTTTTACAGTTTTCATTCCATATTACTATTGTTCGTTAACTAGAATTCTATAGCAAAATAATTTTTCTAGACCATCTAAGTGAAAAACACTACATTGCTAATTCAAAAAGAGCAAGAATTCTATATAATAAATTTTTTTAGAATTCACATGAAATTAATCGGTCCAATTTGTCTAGTTGGAATTCACTCGGTTAAATTTTCAATGTGTATATTTAATAGATGGTTAATATAATTCTCATTAAAATTTGAAATATGTAAGTTTCAAGGACACATTTACGTATATAATCATGTACAATAAATGCGGGGGGTTATGTGCTGGCCACATCAGATTCGTTTTACCGACCGCATTACCAAAGTTCACACTTCTAGTTTTCGATGGAAATGGGTATGTTTGTCTGACTTTTTGTCAGTCTGTCTGTGCAGATCAGAATCTGAATTTTGGCTTAACCGATGTTCACGAAAATTTATATCTGAGGTTTTATCTAGGATGCGACGGTGTGATCAACTTTTAGGATATGCCAGGTCTCTAAAACAGGTCTTTACTGCGGGCTTGGAAACCAAACTGGGGGCCGAATTTATATTCTTTTGTCATATTTAAGGGACTAATTGACGGAATTGACGGATCTTTACTAAGTGCCAAATTTACGTTTTTCTCTTTCTAACTAATTAGAATATATAGAATAGATAATTAACTTGCGGTTGGTTAAGTGGTGACTACGTGAGATTTCTTTTACTGATTTCTACATTTTGCACATATAATTTTTTTAAATTTGTCTTAAAAGTTTTAGGGACAAAAAATATTTAAATTGAAAAAAAAGAAACAAAATGAAAATAATAACATGCAAACAACCAATTTGAATCAATTTAAAGCTTTAAAATAAAGACCTAAAAAACATGAGAAAAAATTATAAAACAAAACCGGCATTCTATAAACCGTGAGAAATTTTTTTTTTTTTTATTCTTTAATTTAATAATATGAAATATATAATTTACAGTTAAGGGAAGTTAATGTTTACCATAAATACAAATTTTCTACACTTGTTTGTTTTATACATTTACATTTTGAAAAGGTATTATAAATTTGATAATTTATACATGAAACCTCTAAAAAATTAAAACCTCTGCAATAATTATTGTTGTTAATTTTAATAAGAGCAATTTATCTTAAAGTAAGATCTATCAAGAGAAAAATCAGAACATTGAAAAATCATATGAGATTATATAAGTTTTTGATAGAAGCCATAAGTCCTTACTGCATTTACATTTACAAAAAATACAACGAATTTTAATAAAAGAACATAGATCAAGAAATTTTAAAAAAAGAACATAGAAATTATGCACATATATAACAATAGATCACTTATTACTTATTTAGATTATGGTAAATAAATAAAATAGTTCTCAATTTTTAATACATAGGTTAGCTTGGATTGGCGCGGCTTACCGTAAGATACACATAGACCAGATAGGTCCGTTGTAATACCACCACCGGATTCACAAAACAAGAACATTTAGACCTGACAAGAATCAACCTTTCTTTAATACATACGTATATATCCTTATCATATATATTTTAAGAAAAAAATTTTATATCATTGAATTATATCATTGAAAATACAATGTAGATTGTATTTTTGCCTCAAAAATTTAAAATTTAATTCGAAAAAAATCATAAACTCTGCTATAAATGGAACGCTAACACAATTTAGATATTCATATTATATGTGACATATATAAATACCAGGATGTTCGAGATTCAACACTATTCCAACAGTATTCCAATAGTAGGGTGACTCTAGACAAACAAGAAACACCTGCAAATGTTTTGTCTTTTTGGGCCCACGTTTTTAAGTTATAAGGCCTCAAATTTGGAATTTCTGAAAACCATCTAGTTTTTAAATTTTCATTGATATCTCTAATGAACACTTTCCAGAACCTTTAATTTCTTTCTTTATCTTCTTTTACTTTGATATATCTAGAAAAGCTTCGGAATGTGTCAATAATTTCCGTTATGAAACAATTATCAGCTAAGCATTCCAAAAGTATTTAAGATACAAAATTAAGATATACGTCAGTTTTAAGCCGTTAATTAATGCTCTCATCCTCTTTTCATTTCAAGCTCCAACTTTTCTTTATACAAATACGGCAATTATAGCTAGAAAAATGTGGGCAGTTAGAAATTCAATGATATTTTCGTAAAATCCCTGTATCTCGGAAACCATTGGGTTTTGAACTGTATCCCTGTATCTCGGAAACCATTGGGATACAGTATCTCGGAAACCATTGGGATATTTTGAAATAAAATTTTAAAATATTTTCCGATGTTTCATATAACATTATATAAAGTTTTATACTCTTTATAAAATCAGAACCTTACCCTATTAATCGAATTATTAAAAAATATCATAAAATTATTTAAAGAGTCCATAATTTTAAATTTTTTTATTTTTCTCATGAAAAAGAAAAATCAAACTTAGAAAGATTTAAAAAAAAAAACAACAGAACAACCAGAAAAATATCAAATTTAATAATATAACCGTGAATTGTACAGTGTTAATTGAATAAAAGTGAGACCGAGGGTTGCTATTCTTTATATAAGCTTTCAAATAAAATAATGCAAAATATTTAATTTTTCCCTTAAAAAAAGAGATCAAATAGTTTTTTTATTTTTGACCGAGCGTATTGTGTATATAATAGGTAGGTTATGTGATGGCAACAAATTTTGCATATCGAGTTTTCGGTGGGAATGCACTTCTGCATAGTAGGGAAGTGTAAATAAACTATTTTTAGCAACCTGTCGGTCTGTGTGTGCACGCGTGTATATTATAACAATGAACATATAAATTTAGTGGAAAGATCAGGGCTCGAAAACAGAATTGCGGGCCGATTTTATATTTTTCAGCATATCTACTGAACGAATTGATGGAATTTTTTGAAATTTGATATTTGAGTTCTGGTTGTTACCGAAAATAACTGGCGAGCATTTCAGGGAATTCGGGTAGCACAAAGTGAAACTCTACTAAGAGGCAAATTTACATTTTTCTAGGTATGTTAACTATAAGTTAAATAATGTCCTAAAAATTGGAAAGAAGTATTTAACAGACGTTTTTATAATATTCCATAACACTTTCACTTAACTAGACAATACACAGCCGGTCGGTTATGTGCTGACCACATCAGATTTTCGTTTTATTCTTTGAATCGTATTTGTTGGCAGTGTAGTGACAGAATCAATGAGAGTAGTAAAGTTTAGTGTGATATTTATCTCATAAATTAATAATGTTGTCAGTTTTGTGTTTTTTTATTTTATATTATAGCTAATAAAATTGCGAAAATTACAATATTAAAAAAGACCAATTTATAAAAAATATCTTATTTATAAACTGAATTATCTTCTTCAATAGAAGTGGTTTTTTGTAACAAAGTGTTGCACTACAATTATATATTTAGTTGATATGTAAGCGCAAGTCAGATATCAGCATATAAACGATCGCGCTGCTATATTGTCTGGTTCAGCGAAAATGTTGCACAAAAGTATGAAAATAAGTTTTAAGCCCCACTTTCATTTTTATTAAACTTTAAGTTAACATACCTAGAAAAGTATAATTTTGGTTTTTAGTAGAACAGAATGCTTACGGTACAAATAAAACCCAAATTAAATATTTCAACAAATTCCTTCAATTAGTTCCTTAGATACGGTGAAAATGTGAAAACTGGTCCCCAACTTGGTTCTCAAGCCCTGATAAGTTCATTGTTTTAAAACTTTGAACTTAACATAAATATTAAATTTTAAGGAAATTGCTTGATTTCTCTTTATATGCTTAAAAATGTAAAATCGTCCCCTGGTAAAAGCCCACTTGCTGACATCTAATTTCCTTGTAATGTTAGTTAGCTTGTGGAATTGTCGGACAAAGCTTATATATATAAAATGTTAGTTTAAGCTGTTAAATACTTTCTTAAAAGTGTCAAAAATACTGAATCATCCCATATAAAGATCAAGTTGCAAAATTTTATTGAACAAATTGGTTTGTAAAGTATAGCAAAGAGGAATGCTCTTAAACAATTTACACCGAAAATGGTTTCGAATATGAAAACATTGGATTGTTATTAAGTGATTACGAAAGTAAAAATGTAATTATTCGCTTTAACGATAAAAGCAAAGACGTACGTGTGTTTAGCTCTGGAGGGGTTAAAAAAAATTTCACTGTATATTAAAATTTCAAGTCAAAAATTGAAGAAATATAACATTTAGACTGTTTCCGAAGGTATTTTGCACTAGCACTAGCATTTTGCACTTTGCATTAGCACTTCCCGAAAATATTTTAGTGCACACTATTTATCACACTTTAGTATTTTTTGGGCTAAAAATTTGTGACACTTAATAAATAGAATAAGTGTTACATCAGTGCATATTTTTAAAGAATTTTCAAGTCAAATTTTTTTTTTAAATAAACAAGTAAAAACCCAAAATGAGTGGGAAAAATAAAACGCAAGTATAAATAATATTTTCATAATTAACGTGTTTTTAATTTATATTGTTTTGAATAATGTTAGTTACCACACCGATTTATTGAATTACTAATTTTTTTTTAAATATTCACTTTTTTAATATATTTCTTTAACAATTTAATTAACTACAACTTGTTTATTTATCGATCGATATACTTGCGATCATCTAGTGTGGCTTAACACTAATAATTTTTGACACATAATCTTCTGCAAAGTGCGATGAGGTTCGGAAACACTTAATACTATCCGGAGTTTTAAATAAAATAGTTCGATGAACTAGATTTTAGTACCAAGCGTGATAGATTCGAAAACAGTTTTAGTGGGTATTTAAAATCATGCAGGAAGAATAAGACTAACAAGAAAATATCATATTTTGATAAAAATATAATATTGATACCCTTGTTGAACGATACTCTCGTTGTCACGGCATTTTAAAATAAAAAAAATTGTAACAATTTGAATAAACTTGAAATTATAACTTACATAATAACAATTTTTCATCATTCTGTTGTTGATGCTGCTGTTGTTGTTCTAGTTGCTTTTGTTGCTGTTGTTGTTGCGATAATAGCATTCTTACAGGTGAAAACGTTTCCTATATTATTTAAGAAAAAGAAAATTTCATTATGATAATAAACAAAGAATAAATAAAAAAAAAGTAAGGGAGAAAGTCTGAAAGAAAAGGAAGAGATAAAAATCTAAGTTTTAAATTAATTTGAATCTAATTAGTTTTCACTATCATTTTATCGTTTTTGTGAGAAAACCTTTAAATATAAGTCCCAATTTCATTACCAACTTCAAATAATTCAAGTTGTTGAAGTGAAATGTGTTACCAAATCTTCTTTTGGGCTTCTTTAAAGATTTGGTGTATTTTCTACTTATCTCGATGGCTTATGGGGAAAACCCTCTAACTAATAGAATTAATAGCAAAAACCTATACCAAATTCCAATTATTAGTAATTGTGCTGCTATATTTTCTTTTTATTTACAGTTTACATATTTATAATAGACAGTAGTGAACTACTATCTGGGATTTTAAGTAAGTTTATTCAAAATTATTTCAAAAATTTTAAAATGTGCGATAGAAGTTTTTCACCCGTACTCTCGCTATATTCGTTACTTTTCACATGTACATACGACAAAAACCTACGATTTAATGTCAGTCTGATGAAAGCCTTATATATATAAACGGTAAAACCCTTACTTTATTCTCATCAGACTTACTGTCCGATTTTCTAAAATTTAAATGAAGCAGTTTCTTTCAAATTTTTTAAAAGAATATTTTTTACGCAGTTTTGAGTAAAGTTTTTATTTTGGCTATAATAAAATATAAGCAAATTATTAAATATTTACGTAAAGTCTTGAGCACCATGAGATAATTTCAGTTTAATATGTAAAGAGTTATCAGACTTTATAATAGATTTGATATTAGATTTTGTCGTACGTATATGTAAGCAGTATACCTTACGAGTTTCATTGATTTTGAAGAAACTGTTATATATAGGATATATATCAACATATAATAAAATATAGGAAAACTGTTGAAATATACGATATATATCAATAGTTTATATAATATTGATAAAACTGTTAATTTTTCAAAAAAAATTTTTAAATCAAAATTTTAAAACTTACCAATGAAGATGGTGATAAATTATTTAAAAAATCATTTTCATTATCATAAAGGGATTCATCATTTTTATTATTATCATTAATAATTGCATTTGAAAATGGCATATTTGATAATAATGATGATGTTGATGATGGAAACGTGGATAAAAATGATAAAGGAGATGATGAAAATGATTGTTGTTTATGTTGGTATAATCGCAATTGTTGTAAAAAGTGTAAGTGCTGTTTTTGTAATAATTGTAAATGCTGTTGTTGGTTTTGTAATTGGTCTTCTTTTTGCTGTTGTTGTAATACTGATGTTGATATATCATATTGTAATGTAGATGATGTCACCGATGGTGATGGTGAAGAAGATGTTGATGATGATGACGCTGATGATGATGATAATAATGATGATTTTACTTTTGCCAATTGTTGTATCAATGGTGTTTCTGATATTTTTGTTAAAGATGGTAATAATGCTGATGGTGTTGACAATGGCGATGACGGTAGTGGAAATTGTAGAGATGGTTGTTGCTGTAATATTGGTGGCGGAGGCGGTGATGATATTGATAATGATAATGATGATGATGGTGATAATGATTGTGGTGGTAAATTTATTAAAATAGGTGATGATGACATTATTGATTTTTTCTTATTATCATCATTTTTCTTTTTATTATTTATTAAATTTTTTTTTTGTGATTCTTGTTTTTGTTGATGTTGATGCTCTTTAATTTGTTCTTCATTTTCTTTTTTCTTTTCGTTTTCTTCTTTTTGTTCTTCATTTTCTTCTTCTTCAATTTCTTCTTTTACTATTTTCAATCGTTTTTGTTTGTTTTCTATAATTTTGTTCAATTTAATATCATCATCATTATTATCGCTATTATTGTCATTATTATCAATATTTATCAATTCATTATCATTACCATTATCATTATCGTTATCACTATCACTATTAATTTTTAATATATCAATATTTTTTTCTTGTAATTTTTCTAATTCAATTTGGTGTTCTTTTTGTTGCTGTTGATTCTTCTCTGGCATGAAATTACCTTCTATTTTTTGCAAATAACCTAATAAATTATATAATGAATTATTAATAGAAATAATATTATTAATATCATTAGAATCATTGCTATTAACGATGTTATTATTATCATTATTAGCTTTATCCATAATTTTACTACTTATTCCTAATTTTAAAAAAATATTTATTTTATATAATTAAAATTGTACCTTTGTTTTATTTTATACAATTTTAAATTTTTTTATGTAAAATTATGAAAATATATATTTGAAATATACTAATATAAAAATAAATAATTATGAATTAATTATTTAAGACAATTATTAATAAAAAAATTTTATAATAAATTTATGGCAATTTCGTAAAACAATACGATCCTACAATTTTCTTGTATACAAAAAACAAATAAAATATTAAATTAAAATTTTCTAAAATACCGTCACCCTCTTAGTTCAATTTTTTTGTTTTTAAACCTTTTTACCATCAAACCTTCCTCTATCTGAATTTTTTTTTTTTGTTGTTTTCCTAAGATAGTCGTTCCAAAAGAACAAATCCTTGTTCTTTTTATAGTGTTTTGTTTTTTATTTTTACATAATTTGGGATAAGGAGAGTGTTTTGGATATTTCAGTATTATCGAGACGGTATATAAAAGTTTGTTAAGATTTCAATTAAAGATCTTAATTTTAAATTAAAATTTCTCAATAATTTAGTATAGAATTTGATGTAAAATGATATTTTTGAATTCGATATATCAGTTATATCAAAAACCTTTAATAATATAATTTTATATAAAAATTATTAAAATAATTTTCTAATTATTTTTTGTTTTAAATTTGTTAATTTTTAAAAAACTGTTTATTTCTTCGGAAATTTTAATTTAAATTAAAATTTTTTTTTTACACAAATCTTTTTTCTCCTTAAAAATTCTTTAATCACTTTTTCTTATAAATTTTTATTTAGTTTTATTTCGCTATATCTTATATCTTATCTTAATATACTATATATTTTAAAGTGACAATTTATTTTTTTAAAATAACTATTTATAGATTGATAATTTATTTTGTTGAGTAAACAATTTATCGTTCAACTTGAAATTTCAAAAAAATTTTTGATAATTTTTATTGCTTTTGATTAAATTTGTTTACGAAAATGAAATAAATTTTATAGTATTTAAGTAAGTATATAAAAATAATATTGATTATTTTAATTTTAAATGTTTTTTTTCCAAATATTTTCGAACATTTTTGTAACTTGAGTATTTGATTCTTTTGTTATATTTTGTCTAATATTTTTAATCACTATATTTGTATTTATTTTTCTATAAGCTTGTATTTAATTTAATAATATTTTATGAGATCCTTATAATAAAATAGATCAATGCGAGTTTATTAAAAAAGAAGAAGAAAAAGGAGAAGTATAGAGGAAAGAGAAAATTAAAAGATTTGAAAACTCTTTTAGTTAAAGAATAAAAGCTATTAAAAAAAAACAGAGATTAGAACGGATTTTTAAAAAATCTTTAATTTTTAATTAAAAAAATCTCTTTTATTTTTATTTAGAATTTTCACTAAAATTAAAAAAACACTGAAAAATATTCTTATTTGGTTTTATTTAAAAAATCAAGCAGTTTTTTCTTTGAAAAAAAAATTATTCGAAAAACTATTATTTATTTTTATAAATTAAAATAACTGAAATTTATAAAAAAATTTTATAAATTATATAACTGAAACTGCATTATTTTTTATGTTTAATAAGTCGGAATCGCAAATTGATACTAAAAGAAATTTTGCTTTTTTAATGTCATTTTTTTCTGCATTTCTTTTCTTTTTTGTCAATTTTCCAAAAAATTTTTAAAAAACTAATAAAGAATACAAGCACAGGAAGAACAATTGAATAAAAGAAGAAAAAAAAGCAATAAGAAAACGGAATTAAATTTTTATAGGAATCTTTCAATCCTTTTTTCATAAAATTGCAAAAAAAAAACTCAAAAAACTCACATATTTTTTTATTTTTTAAGTGAAAAAGCAAAAAACAAAAACAAAAAGAAATTGTAAACTGCCCAAATTGAGAAATAAATAACAAAATAAATGGGAGAGAGAAAAAAAAGCAAACGACCCTTATTTTAAAATGATCTTTCTCTCTAAAAACAAATTCTATCAAACAGGAGAGAGCTATTTTTTTGTTTTTCTTGTGTTAATTTTGTATAACTGGTATATACACGCACTATAAAATAAGCAGTGATGTTAAAACAATCATTAAAATAAATTTAAAATACAAGTAGTTCGGTTTTGATGCGATGAGTTGAGCTTTAATGCGAAGGCAGATTTATAATAATCTCTGGTCTGGCGAAAGCTGATTTATTTTAGTGATTTTTTTAGGTTTCCTTTAACTTTTTCGATATTTAAATTAATTCAACTCTTTTTATTTTATTAAATGCTAAGATTTTTCGTATAGATTTGATTTTTTTTTTTTTCAATAACCTTAACTGTGTAAATTTAATTATTAAACTTCATCATTGGTATTTCACATGAAGACGATCTATTTTTAAAAGTACTCTCATTTCTCTCATTGAAGGCTTAAGGTCTTAAATTGCCAAATCTACTTTTTTTATATTATTTCATTCCATTTAAAAATTTAAAATGAAATTTTATGTCACTTTTTTGACATATAAAATGACACTTTTAAAAACCTCCATACTAAAGTTACTTCAAAACTGAAAAATACAGAAAACTGAAAAAATATATGCTCGCATTACATCGGTGCAATGAATTCAACTTAAATTAGAGTTTAATTAATTCTTCTTGAATTTAGACCATTGAAATATCAAATCAATTTGATAAATAAACTCTCATTCTTATTCTATGTATGTAGTTAAAACTGATATTTTAGTACAATATTGAAATGACCTCAGTTTGAGTTTAGCCTCGAAAACAAAACCATTGGAAAGCACAATTTATTTAAGTACTTTTATAAAGAGGAAAAAGTACTAAAAATTTCTTACAAAACAAAACAAATTAGAAAAAAGCACCTCTGATTTTTAGAGATCGCTAAGTAAAAATAAAAAAAAAAAACAAAACACCAATATCAAACCAACAAACCCTGAACGAATTTTTTATTTTAAAAATCTTTTTCTCTCTCTTTGCGCTCATGATAACTGTCATCGCTCTCGTAGGAGAAATCTCAATTCTTGTAGAAGAAATGATAGTTAAAAAAATTTTTTTTTTCGTTTTTTGAATAAAAAAGTGAAAATTTTTGAAAAGGATAAAAAAGAAAAAAAGTAAAATAAAAAACAAAAAATTCGGAAGAAGCCGATTGGTGAAAAATATTCCATAAAAAAAAAGAATTAAAAAAAAAACAAGGAACAAAAACAAAAAAAATTGTCGCAAACAATTTTTTTTATAAGTTTTATAAATTTGTGTTATTTAATTTTTTTTTTTAATTCTTTTTTATTTAAAAAAATTTAAAAGGGGAAAATTCATTTTAACAAAAAAAGAAAAAAAAAATTGAAAAAACGGAAATTCAAATTGTTGTGAAATTTGGCACTTTGGCAGTAATCTACATAAGTACAGTGTACTCTGCAAAAAGTGACTAAAAATGATTGACAAACAAATTTTTTTTTATGTGCGCATGAATCAAAAGCTTTAGAATGCTTCAGAGTTCAGGTTGTTTATAAACAAGGTTTTCTGCGTAAATCTCGTCAAATTTAACATTTTTCTGTTATTTCTTCTATTTAGGGGCATATAACGCGTTCAATACATCGCGAAGCGTTTGCATATACGCACTGCAGTGCTGCAATTTCTGATATAAACCAATGAATGTATGTAGAATCTGTTTGTGAAATCATTATTATAATATTTGCTGTAACAGTAACATATTAATAATGTAAATTATAGAAACTTATTAAAAATCTTTTCTATAAGATTCAATTCTATGCGAGTATAAATTACCTATATGAAATTATAGCAAAACTTTTCTACTATTCTACTAATAAATGGAGAGGGACGTAAAACACAAATATTTTAGAAGACACACGCGAAGAACTTGCGCTGTAAGAGTTAGTTTTTGCTTAGAGAGATACACTGAGGCTGAAAAAATGTTCGTTTTAGTACAACATAATTTTTTACTAAAGACGCACGTAAAAACTTATTACAAAAAATTTAATATTAATAATTGAATAAATATTAAATTGAGTTTTAAAGATATACATTTTATGGTTTTTCTCAAAATTAAGAGATTCCCTGATTTCAAAATTTCAAGAATACGACATTAATATACAGTTCGTTAAAAAAAATGGGTTTTATCTTTATACAAATAAATGCTAATAACTGCGGAATTGTTCAACATAAAGTATCCATCCGGCAGTTGTTTCGAAAAGTCACTTAGTTTAGCGTATAATGCGTTATTGATTCAGAATTTGTATTATTCATCAAACTTTATTAATCAAAATTTTATTTATCATTATAGAACTTTATATAACATTGCAACATGCTATGCAAATAAACGTCAAATAAGAATTAAAATAATTTTCCCTACATCTAATATGGTTATTTTTTTAAGAATTATTTACCTGACTTTTTTTATCAACTTCTTTTTTGCATTTTTTTAATAAAAATAATTTTAAATTATAATTATACTCGTACGAATGTATGTTCGAAGGGTATACTAAATTTGCCTTGCCGTTTGTAATGCTAAAAAATAACGGTCTTTGATATAGACTCAAGTGTATGTTTTTGATCAGCGTCGAATTTTGAGTTGATTTAGCTTTGTCTGTTCGTCCGTCCATCCGTCCGACCCATCGATAACTCAAAAACTAATTGAGCTAAGTTCAACAAATTTTAACAAGTGATTTATTATAGTAAATGCCAGAACCCTATTGAAATTGGATATGATCAGGGTACTGTTTCAGGTAGCTGTCATACAACTTCAAAATTTATTTGGCTATATATATCTCAGAAACTATAAAAGCTTTGGTATTGAAATTTCACACAAACGAATATATTAGTACGGTCAATATGTATGATAAAAGTCGTTGAAATTACTTGGCTCCTT